AAATCACTGAGAAATGCTGAAAAAAACGCAGGGTTTGGCTCGTTTGTCACCAGCTCTGCTGAAAAATAGCCAGAGATTTCATACTGTGATAAGCGACCTGAGCTTCTAAAGGTCCTTGCTCGAGATAGAAGCGAGCTGGGCCGCAGTCGGGTATTTCATACAGTTTGGGAGGGTTGTTGAGTATTGGGTTAGTGCTGATTCCCAGCCCTCTGCTCATCTGGTGACCAACCACACTTTTGGTAGCACTTCAGTGGACCAGGCAAATGCTTCTCTGTGCTTTTTTACCTTGAGAGAGGTGAGGAACCAGGGTAGAGTTGATGCAGTCACAGCAGGCACAGAACAATTCACAATTCTCTCATTCCAAACTGTTACAGCAGCCTCTGAGGCTTTTGTAGCCCATTGTTGATCTTGAAAAGCAGAAAATATCCACAAAATATGGTGCTCTGGCCAATGTATCTTCTGCGTGGGCTCCTGGAAGTTGGGTTAGAGCAAAATATTTGCACCAGATCTGTACGGAAGGTGTCAGGAAATGGGACGTTCCCATCTGCTTGCATCTAACTCTCAGTAAAGCCAATTAATTCTAGACAAAGCTGCTCTGAACAGGACTTGCCAATCAAGGCTTTGTTACCTTGAGCGTGATGGAAAATATCTGCGCTAGTTTAGGTCTTTTTAATAACCTTTCTGTTGTTTGTGATTGAATATGATCCAATTGCTCTAATGGAGGAGAATATTATGCACAGCGTGAGTCAGCAACACTTTCTTCCTGGAACAGCTGACAGCAAAGCAAGTTCCCAAACTCTCCGCAGAAATATCCAGGCCTCTGGATGAAGATCTGGGCCGTCGCTGCCAATACCTGCTGGTGCCCCCCGAGATGGCTCTGTGCTTGTCTGGCTGAAAGGAGGAACCGTCCGAGGTTCATTTGAGGTCGGAAGACGCAACTCGATGTGCAGCAAAACTGCTCGAGGGGCCTTATGCAAAAGAAGAGAGGTCTGGAGCAGCAGGGCACGTTCCAGGGCTGGGGAGCTGTAAAACAAGGGCACCGGCAGCACCGACGATGTGGGAATGCTAATAAATCCCAATGACAACGACGTGGGAATGCTAATAAATCCCAATGACAAGTCTCATCTAAGATCATCCACTAAGACTGGACTTTTTTTTTTTTTTTTCCTTCCTTTTAAAATGCAGAGCTACAGCCAGCAGCTCAGTGTGGGGTTGGGAGGAAAGCTGAGAGCTAGTAATCACTATACCAAAAATTGTTATCCTGTCAAAACAGTTTAAATAAGGTGGCATATGTTAAGATATTAAATGGTGACATCTTCCAGGCCCGCAGTGGGCAAAGCCATGGGTTTCAGGGAAAAGGTGCTAGTAATGAGTTTGCCATGCTCTAGGATATATTCTGGTGGGAGATCAAGCCTTGTACTAATGTTTTCCTGCTGTAGCGACTGTCCGTTCTGTGTCACAAGCAACCACCTGAAATCACGTTCCAGCAAACCCAATATTGAACCTGGCTTGGCGTCTGAGCGGTCTGGCTTTACAAATCACACCTCCATTGGAAACTTTGACCAAGCAAAGCTGCAGTCAGATAAGTGAGCCCAGATTTCAAGCTGGCTCTCGATGGTTCTCTTGTGGCTTTTGATATTTGCCATTGCTGACTGAAGTTTCTGGCAGCTCCCGAAGGATTAGCCATAGTGGGGTCCAGCGTTTTCCTGTGGGGTGAGTATTTGTGCCAAAGGCGCCAGCCCCAAGCACAGCACTGCTTTTTAAAAGACATACTAAAGCATCTTAAACAGCTCCCTGCCCTGTGCCACGGAACCCAGCTCAGGTAGGTGAACGTGGCAGCCTTGTGTGTGTGCCGAGTTCTCGCTCCGTCCCAAATCGCATCCCCAAAGCGCTCGGTTCCGCACTATGGATCACAGGGGAGATGGAGGGATGCAGGAACAAGGTAAGTGGCGTTTCACAAAGTTCCTGCTGCTTTTTGGAGCGTTTACACGAGAGCCCCAGGCCTTCAAAGAACAGCGTGCTTGCCACAGAGAACAGTGTGGGAATGCCGGGGTATGTGCGTGTGCAGCCCTCCCACGCGCACACCGACTACCCCAGATATAGGCATGCCCACAGATCAGCACCTACACACAAACGCTTTTGACACACTTATTCTCAGCATCCTGTACTCTTGCAGCAGCCTCGGTTGGAGGCAGGGAGAAAACAGGCTCCCTGCAACCCGATCTTCCAATGACCGTTCTGCCAGCTCCACTTCCCTGCGTCTCTCTGAGGTGCCCAGAGTGGAGGTGGGAACAAGATCCCCATGTAGAAAGTGATTTTCAGGCTGAAAGGTCAGCAGGATCTGTCTGCTGGAGCGTGAGGTGCTGCCCAATTGCTCCTAAGGGATTTGAGGTTAAATAAGGAGGCAAGAGAATGGTTTACGATCATGGCCCTCTGTGTCTCTGCCTGGTTGATTTTTGCAGAATCGGATAGTGACTGTGCAGCAGACCTGGTGCAGGGGGCTCCAGGACCTCTTCCCTTGCTGGGTTCCCGGATCCCTTCCCGGGATCTTGGCCCTGCAGGGCTCTCTGGAAGCGAAGCAGGACAGCAGGCAACGGGAACACTTCACAGGCTCGCAGTGCTCTGTACAAGCTCATGTTCAGCACGTCACTATCGCAGCTTTTTTTTTTTTTTTACGAGCGCCATGAGGCTCTTAAAATCCCAGTCTTGCAAAGCCGCTCTTAGCAGCACGAGGGCTGTGCTGGCTTCTTGGGCAGCCTGATCCTGGCTCCCGGTCCCTGGGAGGAGGCGGGAGACAACGCTTTCCATTTGCGGGGTGTTCCTGGCCCCTTGCTGCCTGTCGAGAGGAGATTCATTAGGAGCAGCGAGGCGGCTCTCCCTCCTCTTTCTGCTTGGGAATTGGAGTCGTTTGTCTCGGGAAGGAGCCCCGGTGCCTCGCTTGCTGTGTGGCAGCTTCTGCTCGAGAGAGACGAGCACTTTGTCAATAAACAAGGAGTCTGGGGAATGGCTCCAACTGACAGAGAACATTATTAATGACAAGCGCTTTGGCCAAGGGTAGATGAGCCTCCCATTAGCTGCTTTAAGAGGGGAAATAGAAGCAGAGCTTGAGATGGCAGCCTTGAACAGTGCTGGAAGTTTCAGCATCCTCCATCGAGCCCCTGCCACGAGGCCGGGGCTGGCACAGCCCGCAGCATTGGGTGTTTATTTTCTTCTTCATCAGGGAGCCTCCGATTGTGAGAGCAGGTGACAGACCCAGCTCATAGACAGCTCTGCCTCATGGCCTGCTAAGGGTGAGCTCCTCCACGGAGATCTTCCAGGCCAGAGCTTCTCCATCCTCTCTGACCAGCTCAGTTTGTCCCCGGGACAAGAGATGTCTCCAGAATCTGCCGCCACAGCCATCACGTGCTGATTATCTTAGAGGATGCTGCTGTTTGTGCAGCTCCTTCTTGGGCAGTGCCCCAAGGAAGGCACCCAAAAGGAGGCTGTTCTGCTGCTTTTGCTCTTGGGAAGTGGTCAGGATGAGGAAGAGGGCCCTGCATGTCTGACTGACTGCAACCAGAGAAGCCCTTGCCTCTTGCCATGGCTGGAGCCCTAAACTAGTGTCCTCACATGGAAGAAGTCTGTAGGCTCTAAACAGCTGTTGATTCACCTTGCAGTTATTCTATACTTCCCACAGCAATTCCAGAGTAGAAAAGTAAAAAACAAAACAACAACAAAAATCTTTGTTGTGACACTGACAGATCATCCTTTCTGTCCAACACCCTTAGAACTACCAGGCGGGTAAGTCCTTGTCTCCTGCACAGAAGAGCCTGGGGACAAGTGCTCAGCCCATGGGTTTGGTCTGTGCAGAGCCTTTTGTTTGGAGCCACGCTGGTGGAGAAGGTGGTGGAACATCTCACTGTCCTGCCAGTCTTGGTATAGTTGGGGTGCAGGATCGTCCTCATCTTGGTCTCTGGGGCTGGCAGAGAAGCTAGCTCTTAATGCCATGGCTTCTTATCGCTGTGGAGATGCAGCCATGGTGGCTTCACAGCTAAGGATGCTTTCGCCATCCTGTTCAGAGTCTGTTGCCTGGGGTGATGGTGAATCTTTCATGCAATTTAAATCTTCTTTCAGACAGAACGCTGCCACGTTCAGCCTGAGAACAGGGGAAAACTTTTTGAGGGCTCATCCTTTCTTTCTGGACGTGATTCTGTCCACCCACAGTTCAGAGCTGGGTCTGGGGTAGGAGCCCCTTATGGATCCCAGTACTCTGGTGCTTGGAAAAGGAATGACGTGTGAGCTGTGGATCTGAAGTCTAAAGCCTTTGTTGCACCTTGCCAAGCTGTTAGGATAGGATTCAGGTCCAAGCTACCCCGGCAGATTGTGCAGGAAAGCCACCAGTTGATTTTCACTTACAAAAGCTCCCAAGGCTTTCCCGTGAGCCTCAGGATCTCTCCCTTGCGGTTGGAAGTTACAGCTGCGGGGCTGCGAGCGTCCCCGCGTCCCTGGACCGCTGCCTCCGGCTTGCTCCGACCGAGGCACGGCAAGAATGAGGGACCTCCGGGCTGCCGTGATTTATAAGCTCAAGCAGGTCCCGCCCGGATAAATGGTCCATTTCTGCTCCCAAGCGAGCTCCGGACTCTGCTCCAAGCTCCTAAGTGGATTGCCTGGTAGCCAGCACAGCTCTCCGGTGACTGTAGAGCCGAGGGGAGTTAACGGGGGGGTGGGCAGGAGCCGGAGGATGCGCTGGGAGCACCCGGCCGAGCTGGATTCACCGGGCTTGCTGCGGAAATCACTTCTGGCGATGCCTCTGCCTCTTTAATTGCCCTGAAGCAGCCCTCACCCGTGAGTGAAAGAGCCGTGCCTGCAGATTGAGGGGGGTGGGAGGGCTTGGAACATTAATCTGATGTAGATTATACATCCGCCTCCCTCTCTCTCCCCCCTTCTCACTCTCTCTCCCTCTCTCTCCCTCTCTTTCTCTCTGTTTCCCCTCCCTCTCCTTCCTGCTTCATCTCTTCAAGAAAGTGAACATAAAGTAAAAACACGGAGAGAGAGAGGCAGAGAGAGAAAAAGCTCCCTGAAGAGGGGAGCCCCAGCAGCCAGTAGCTGTTTGGATTTGCCTGGCGCTGCCTTTCTTGCTTTGCTCCCAAGGAATACCTTTAATGGGATCAATTGCTTCGGTTCCTTTATAACCAAGGCCACCGGAAGGGCAGACTCAACATATTATGGGCAACTGTGTGAAGTCGCCACTGAGAAACCTCTCGAAAAAGGTATGTTCCCTGAAACAAAGTGCGTTTCCTTGGCCCCGCTCCTTGGGATGGGTGACAGCGGGGAAAGGGAGGTGGGAGAAAGGCTGAGATGAACTGAAGGGTTCCCATGTATGAAGGGTTCAACTCTCCCCATTGGCCTTTTTTTTCCCTAAAAAAAAGGAGAAAAATGCGAGCTGCTCGAGCGGGCGCAGCCGGCAGAGCCCACGGTGCCGAGTGCCACGACGCGCGTCCCCGTCCCCGCGTGGCTCTGCATGCTCGTTCCTGCACGCGCCTCGCTGCCCCGTGTCCTGTGTGCCGCCACCTTCACCGTCCACGTATAGACGCGAGTTTGTGTATGTGCATGCGCTTGCAGCCGGCACGGCGCTGCCGCGGGGACGCTCGTGGCCGCAAGCTCCTGTCGCCGTGTGTGGGTGAACGGGCACCTTGAAGCGCCCGCGTCTCACGTGTGTCCCCCGCTGTTCGTGCCCCTGCGTTGACGTGTGCGGAGGGGCATGCGCCTAGGGGAGGGTTTGTGTGGGTCTCACATGCATGCCTCGTTGCTCGGCTGTGTCCATATGTGTATATTTGCTCATATATGTCCTCACATAAGCGTGCATGCAGGCATACGTGCCTTTGCTGCTGGGGGATGCACGTGAGTAGTTTCCCGCTGTTTTTGGTCGCAGAAGCCGCTTTTCTGTTTGTCCCTGCTTGCGTGTGTGAGGGGACACGCTGGGCGTCACGCGCGTCCTGTCACACCACAGCGTGGCCCGCGTGGGCCCAGCGTGTCCCAGCCGCCCGCGGAGCCGCTTGGCCTCAACCCACAGGCTGTTCGGCGCCCAGGCTTGAAAATAATCCCCGGGTGAGTTAGCTCCAGGAGCTGCTGCTAGGGGCTGAGCTGAAATGGGGATAATTTGCCCGGTGATATTTCCTTGTCTGTGTGAGGGAGGTTTTGCAGCGCAAGGAACCCATCAGCCAAGCAGTCCTCGCTTGGCAGTGCTGACAGTCTAATAACTCAGCAAAAAAAAAAAGCTGTTTGCTTCACTACTTATAAATGAAGAGGTTACGTGAAGCGCTGAAAGTACCGCAATGAGCCACAGGCCCTGCGGAGACAGGGAAATGCCGTCAGGGTGCTCCATGAGGAGACTTGGAAAGGCCCCTCTGGAAGGAGGTACCTCGTAGGGAGTCTCTTCTGACCCTGGATTTGCCCCTTCCACGTAGAAATGTGGCCTGGGCCCTGCCTTGGCTGTGCAAAAATGGCCAGAAATGGCAAGGGGCAGCAAGGATACGCCAGGAGAAGGGGCCTTGCCGAGCAGGTGGCCACTGGCTACCCTGTGGTCGCCCATCTGCGGACCCCACGTTGGCCACTTGTAGGTATCGCGAACTTGTGAAAAATGGACACGACTGCAGCTGTGCTTGGCGAGATCAAGGAGACGGCAACGGAAAGTGTGATGTGTGGCCTGACTGCTCACATCAGGATGGATTCGGGGTCTTACAGACTCCGTGTGATCGGTCTTTTCTTTGCTTATTCTTTCATTCCTAAGAGCTGCTTGGAATAAGGCGCTTTGAGCCTAGTTGCAACAACAGCAACTAGGATGGCAGAACTAAAAGGAGAAGGCTCCAAAGAAGAATTAGAGAATTTCCCAGGCCTCACCCCAGTAAGCCACAATTTAAGACCTCAGTGTCTAATCCTGAGCAGTTCTGGAGCTCCTTCCTTTCTTCCTTTCTTCCTTTCTTCCTTTCTTCCTTTCTTCCTTTCTTCCTTTCTTCCTTTCTCTCCCAACACAAATGGTTACACTGGACATTTCACAGAACCACTGGGACATCGGACCACTTCCTTTGGCTGTTTTGTGATCCTGGTCTTTGTGTCTCAGATTTTTAACTTGAGCAAGGTGAGAGGGAACTGAGTGGAGAAGATGAGAGGCTGGGCCATGGCGGGCCCTAAGTTTCATTGGGAAGAAGGAATCATTCTAGCCCTGTTATTCCTCACTGTCCTCGCTCTACCCCCACTTCAGTAAAGCTCCTTGAGCAGTCATGTCCTCGGACTGAAGAGCTGCCTACGTTTGGATGCTGCTAAGCCAGAACTACCAGGCACAATTTTCTTATTGCTTGTGATCTCCACCATGTGTTTCTCCCCAGCAAGTGGAAAAAAAGAGACTTGAGATGATTAGGAGAACAGCTGAGGAACGTGAAGACCTCTTGCACTGGATATCTGTTCTTGGGGGAAGATTCCATCCTTCTGTGATGGAGGGGAGCTACTTGCCCATATTTGTCTTGCGTTTTGCTGAAATAGTGAAGAAGATGCAAATGAAAAAAAAAAAAAAAAAGAAACAGCAGTGAAAGGTCTTCTTACTACCAGATACTCTCCTTAGCAGCTTCTTAACCACACTGCCAAGGATTATTTACTATTTCGAAGGCAGCTGAAAAATGAATTTCTCTGTATAGGAGAAGAGCTTGGAGCACAAGCTGGAGCACAAGCGGTAGCGAGACAGGAGGAGCTCTGGGCAACGTGGGTGTGAAAGCTGCTCTTGGGTAACCAAGTTTGATCTCTTGAGTACACAGTCTCCACCAGAAGGTTCAGAATTGCCTCCAGGCACCTGCTCACGTGGTCAGGACTGATGGTGCCCATGTTCCTTGCCTGTTCAGACGGTAACGTTCAGCCTTCGTCCCCACCATGTCTGTTGTTGGCAGCTTCCCTCTCCACAGCATCCCCTGGACATCATCCCGGTGGGGATGAGAAGACCTCTCCGGACAGGGGCCCTGACAGGTCGGGCCCTTGGTGCTTGGGTGGGTTTTATGGCCAAGTCGTTCTGCTGCTCCTGGTGATGGCTTCATCTAATGGGCAATATCCCTCCGTGCAGGGAGGTAATGGGCCAGCCTTCCCTGGCACAGCTCCGCGGCTCGATAATAACTCTATTGACTGCAAGGGTCAGAAAGCAAGGATTAGTTTATAAGCTAGCGGCCTTCCGTCTTTCGCTTGGCTTCAGTGGAATTCCGCTCCGGACTCATGCGGGCTATTTTAAGCAATTTGTGCTCTTTGGTATATTAAACTGAGAAAGGCACCGGGGAATAAAGCTGACAATTTTGGCAGTAGATTGCATGATGTCATGAAACTGTGCAGCTCAACACAGATGCCATGACATTTAGCTGAGCTAGGGATGCGCCGTTTGCGGACTGATGCTCATCCTTCACGTGTGAAAGGACAAGGGTCCTACGTGCCGCATTCAATCAGCAGCACTTTCCTCCTCGTCCATGGCTGCGATGAAGACACTTCTCTGCTTCCTCCTTTGCCTTCTCTGTGGCTTGCTTTTGGATGCATTTTTGTTCTGGTGCCTGCTATTCCCGTGCCATTATACATGAGCAGATCGGTGTGGCACCGTGTATAAAAATGTGAAGCACAAACCATGCGTGCAGGATCACAGCACGTGTTGGACAGCAAAAAGATAGGGTGGGTTTGGACGAGTGTGTGGGGGGCCAGGGCAGAGCTGCTCTTTTAGCCTGGAATGGGGAGGAAGCCCCGAAGGAAAGGGTTAATAGCCGGAGACAACGGCTATGGACCGAGCTCCACGGTCACCCCCCGAGCACGTCTGTGAAAGCAGGACTCATTCCTGAGGCAGGAATCTGATGCATGATTAATGTTTATTCTATAAAACCAAGGGTCCTGTGGGTTGTGCTGGCTTTTTATAGCTGCATGGGAATATCGGGATAAGGCTTTTCTTGCAGAGCCAGGGAAATGCATTTCTATAAAAGGAAAGCAGCGGCTCCTTATAAAATCCAGTGCTGGGGTCTGTTCTGGAGCCGAGCTCAGCAGGATGTGCGCGCTTAGCGGAACGGTCCGGGGAGGTGCAGACAGACAAAAACGGCATGTCCGTGGCCACTGCCAACGTCGGCACCGCAAGCAGCTCCTGCCCGAGCCCCCCGGGACGCCCCTATCCCGGAGCGGAGCGGGCAGGCCAGACGGCCATGCGAAGGGCCGTCCTGTTGGCGGCACGAGGCCTGTGCGTGACGTGGAGCCGGGCACGGCGGGGAGGCCTCGGTGGGGCAGCCCGGCACGTGTGGCCTCCTCGTCCTCTGCCGCTCCCCTGGGAGCCGGTAACCACGGTGCGGGGCCCTCCGGCTGGTCCGTTCCGGAGGGAAACCCTCCCCGCCGCCCAGCTGGGCGGTTTGGCAGGGCGGCCGCGGGGCTCGGCGCGTGGCGGGTCGCTAGAGCCTCAGCGGGGCGAGACGGGGAGGTAACACCCTCTGTTGTGTCGTTTGCTTGCTGCCGGCTGGCCGGGAAGATCCGCCATGAGGAGAAGACGAGCTATAAGGCTGTCCAGACGAGCGAAGAGGGGCCGTCGGCCGGCGAGTACCAGGGCCCGCTCATGGTGCTGGCCCAGAACTGCGCCGTCATGCACAACCTGCTGGGGCCGGCCTGCATCTTCCTGCGCAAGGGCTTCGCCGAAAACAGGCAGCCTGTACGTAAGTTACCGCCAGCCGGGCGAGATGCGCACGGAGCCGCGGACCCGGCCATGCGGCGCCGGCGCCGGCCCCGGCCCCGAGCGTAGACGCAGCCCCAGGCTACCGTCTTGCTTGCAGGACGGGCTGAGACGGCCCCGCGCCCGGGCCAGGAGGCTCCTGGAAGGGCAGTGATGCGCGGGGGAGCCGTGGCTGTTCCCAAGTGGAGTCCGGTGGCCCGGGAGGCGTCCAGTTCCAAAGCTGTCATTCCAGCAAGACGGCCTCATTCCCAGAGGCTCAGATGAGCCTGTGGAGTCTAAGTAGCCACTTAAATGCAGTTAGGTGTCCTTATTGAGAGCAAGTTGGCCCACAGAGATGCCCGTATTTGATATCGGTCCTATCAGCACACAAGGACAAGCAGAACTGAGGCTGCACCTGCGTCCCCACACGATCCCTGTGCGCTCACACGCCCAGCGTGATGCGGGTGCAGCAATCCCAGCCAAAGAAACCAAGAGCCTCAGGCTGGCCTCGTGTTTGCAAATAGCACCAGCTGACCCAAAGCTGGGAGCCAAACGCACACAGAAGAGCAAAACCACGTCCATCCGTTCAGTCACATCTATTAGTAACTACCTGTTTGTAGGTACCAAACGTATATATAGAAAAAAATTGGAATGTGTTTGTACGTGAATTCAGATGGACACGCTTGACCGTGTTGACTGTACAAAAATGTGCACCGCGATGTTGGGTATTTACAAGACATAAGAGCTATTTTGGAACATTCCATTCCTACATTAATGTCATACACGTACAGAAACCATGCGTTAACACTCACAAGTATGAGTGAGTAAGAGCATTTTCATGTATTCATCCGGTGCACTGCATGTTCTTCTGGTAAGAGAAAGTTCACCTCAATTACCTGAGACTCAAAGCTTGTTTGTCCCTGTAAGAAATCTCAGTCTTACCCACTCGTACACTGATATATAGTTATCTAGAGCTGTAGGAGATATAAATCCTTAGCTCCGAAGCTGCATTTTCAGCCAGAGATCCCCATAGCATCAGTGCTAGTCACAATTAGTTGAAGAGCTTTTGTTCCTCCCAACCTTCAGTCACTAAATGACCACAGCACAGGAGACAGGTCCAGCTGCATGGTGGACAATCCCTGGAAAGCCCTGTCATCCTAACAGGTTTCCAAAACAGGATTAGTGATGTCTCAAACAATCCTGCTGTAGTGTAAGTGCATCTGGTAGAAAGCTTTACTCTAACTGACTCTGAACAGGATTTATTGTGCACAGAGCAGAAAGAAATGAGAGTAAAATCATTACCAATGGTGAGCTCTCAGAGGCAACTCTGCTGCTTTCTGGGATCTCTCTCTGGAAAGGTTTATTCCTCTTTCTATATGTCCATCTCCAAAAGCTTTAAAGTGACCCATTTCCTCCCAAGCAGGTGATTTTCCTCCGTTAGCCTTTGAGGGAAGCGTCTTTCCAGCTTAGCCCAGCAAACCTCTGCACAATGTCAGCTCTTGCTCGGGTCACTGTTCCGGAGTGCCGTAAGCTTTTGCCTCCGCAGCCCTTGGCTCTCCGGTGCTCCAATCTGCACGTGCAAAGACGAGCCCGGAGCCCTGCGAGTGCCCACGGGTGCCGAAGCCCTCGTTTGGGGCAATGCTGGGGTTGTGCAGGGGACAGTCCGATGCCGGGGCAGGTCTGTGTCCCCCCTGGACACCCGGCAGCAGCTCCGGGGCCGGCGACCTCTCCGGGAAGTGGAGCACGGGGCGGTGGTGCCGGCGTGGGGGCTTCTCCGTGCGTTGCGTTAGCGAGGGCAGCGCGACCTCCCGCCTCCGCTCCGCAGGGCCTCGGGCGTTTTCTCCCTAGGGAGTCGCTGAAAGCGGAACAAATGGGATGACATGTTTGAAAATACCAGGTCCGTGCGGGAGGCAGCAGCGGGGCGGGCGCGCACTGGTGGCTCATCCAGCGCGGAGACGCCTCTGGGAAGGTTACGCGCAGCGAGCGGACAGCTCGGCTGGCACGGCCAGCTGCGCGCGGACGCGAGCCCGCGCGTGTCCTAGTTTGTGGCGCGCGCTGGGCAGCCGCCGTCAGAGCTCGGAGACGAGCCGGCGGCTGCAGAGCGCGGGATCGCGCCGCCCGAGCCTGCAGGGACGACACGGCAGGACGCCCGGCCGGCGAGGACACGCTCCCTGCTCGAGGGCACAAGCCGAGAGGCAGGCAGAGGAAAACGACCGTGTTTCTCTGCGGCCGGATTCTCAGATGTTTTGGATTTGCCTGGGAGCCAGCAAGGGAAACAGGGAGGGCGCTTGAGCCAGACTGCAGTGCATTTCCATGCTCATCTCTTCTTCTCGGTGCAGTGTTGGAATTTTCCTATACTCGTTCACATCCTCCCCCTTCCTCCAAGGAACTCAGAATTGGATGTCTGAAGTTGCAGGCTTTCCTGAACACGGTGAAATCCCTGTCCTGTTTTGTCTGTGGATGACCTTGGTGGTGTGTGTGTTGTGTGTCTGCCTTCACGCCTGGTTTTGAAGTGCTCCTGTGTGGAATGGAGGCTGGGAGGAGGAAGGGGGAAGCTCCTGCCTTTTGGGGGGGGCATGACTGTAGGGAATGACACAGGGATGTGGGCTGTGTGAGGAGGTGGCAGCCCCTGTCCTGCCAGTGGGGATGGCAGAGCTGCCGGTTACAGGAGCAGCTCCCAGCCGGTTGGACCTGGGTGTCTCCGGTGGAGCTGCCGTAGGGAAGCAGCCAGAGACGGAGGCAGCCGTCGCTCCCTCCCTGGGGGCCGCGGCGACGCTCACGGTCCCCTCTCCTCCATCAGGTGGGGAGGCCGCCCAGGCAGCCCGCGGTGGCCCCAGGCTCTTCCGCGTGCTGCGGAGCGCCCGTCGTGCCCCTGCCCGGCAGACGAGATGCAGAGGGGCCTCCACAGAGACGCGTGCGGGCTGGGAGCCTCCCTGCTGGGGAGGAGAGCGGGGCAGCCTCGCCAGGTAGCTGGTATTAAACATGTCATCACCTCCTTGTTTCTTCTCTCGCTTTCTGGCTTGCCCCAGAACGGTGTCCACCGCCAAGTGCTAGTCTGACCCCGCGTTCCTGCGAGCCTTAACTCCGTGTGTTCTCTCGTTGCAGGATAGAGAACTGCGGCCCGAAGAAATCGAAGGTAAAACTTGTCACTCCTGTGTCACCTTTCTCCCTGCCCAGTGAAAAGCTACTGGCCAGCCACCCCAGGTTGGCCCCTAAGGGGTAAAATGATTGGGGGCAATTCAAGGGAGGTGATTCCTGGACGCTGGCAACCCCAGCAGAAGGATTAAGCTGCAAGGCTGCCCATAGTGGGGGAATTTGCCTCCTTTCTGTCTTTTTCAAGGTGGGGGGATAGGTAATAGAGAGGACCAGGGAAGCTGTCTGGCCTGCTGAGCCCTGCAGTGAGGGCTGTAGAGAACCCTGCAGAGGTGAGAGTTGGGAAAATTCATTATCCATCACAGTTTCTTCAGGAAGCGCGGTTTCAGAAAGCTCAGGTTTGTGGCAGCTCAAAGCCTCTGCTGTCCGAGCAGGCTTTGCTGCAAGGAATGGGTCTGCAGCGCTGCCAACAAGCTTAAAAATGCCCCAGTCCTTGCCATTCTCAGGGAGATCTGCTGGGAAAACACAGAGCACCTTGAAGAGCTCGCCCTGATAAAGTGCTACTGACTTTGGGGAGGCTTCTTGGAAAAAGGTATTTCCAGCCGTCACTGACTCTGTTGCTCTTTCTGGATCCACCCCCACAGAATTAAGAGAAGCCTTTAAGGAGTTCGATAAAGACAAGGATGGATTTATTAACTGCAGGGACCTGGGCAACTGCATGCGGACCATGGGCTACATGCCCACGGAGATGGAGCTCATAGAGCTCTCCCAGCAGATCAACATGAACCGTGAGTGCCGCCCTGCGCCGCTGTGCTCTGCATCGCGCCCTTGGTGCCCTGCTCTCCCCGGTCCTTTGGTCTCCTGCTCTCTCTATTCCTTTGGCCTCCAGCTCTCCCTGTTCCTTTGGTGTGTTTTTCCCTCCTTTTTGATTCTCTCCTCTGGTCCATCCTCTCCCTAGTTCCTTTGTGGTCCCTAGCGCTTGTTTCCTGCTGGTCACACTGACACCTTTGGGTGCTGGGCTTTTTGGGGATCATAGAAAGGCTGTTCCCCTGCGGTTACACAGTGGGGGGTAAAGGTACCCACGATGCGAGCGGTGCAGACAGCACCATTTATTGTCAGCACTTGCCTGTGCCCGTGTAGGATATTACTTACTTGGTAATTATTAGGAATTATTGCTTAGGAATTATTTACTGTGTGTTATTTGTGACATATGCTGATGTAGAAAGGACAAGTTAACAAGTTGCCTGCCCCACAGAACTAAATGTGACATAAATGACACATAAAAATGGCTAATAACCCTGGTGTCCAGGCTGTCATTGGACAAGCGGTCAGGAATTTGAGCGCCATTGCTAACTTACACATACAAAACAAAGATAAATGTGGAGGTACAAACATGTTGGATGAGCGTTATTCCCTGGAGCAAGGCTCCACCTTTCCCAGGCGGTGCTCCCGGAGTCCTGACGTGTGATCTTTCCTCTTCTCCCAAGTGGGTGGCCACGTGGATTTTGAAGATTTTGTTGAGCTGATGGGACCAAAGCTTCTGGCAGAAACCGCAGACATGATTGGAGTGAAGGAGCTTCGTGATGCCTTCAGAGAGGTGAGCAGGAGAGCAGGAAGAGAGGAGGGCCGCTGGGGAAGGGAAGAGGGGAAGGGGAGAGTGGAAGGCTGAGAAAAAGCCAAGCCAGGCATGGAACAAGGACAGAGGGAAAGTCACTGGGATAAGAGATTGCAAGGAAGGGGGAACCTGGTGAGACACATCGGGAATGAGAGGTCTCTGAGGATGATGGTCGAGATCATAGAATTATAGAATCCTTAAGGTTGGAAGGGACCTCTAGAGATCCAACCCCCTGCACATGCAGGGTCACCCAGAGCACGGGGCACAGGCTGCGTCCTAGACTCCATTCCCATTAACCTCTTTTCCCGCGGGTGTTTTTCATCTTCTTGCAGTTTGACACCAACGGCGACGGGGAGATCAGCACCAGCGAGCTGCGGGAGGCCATGAAGAAGCTCCTAGGGCAGCAGGTTGGCCATCGGGATATCGAAGAGATCATCCGGGACGTGGACCTGAACGGGGACGGGCGCGTTGATTTTGAAGGTGAGAGGGGACCAGTGCTCCCTGTCCATCTGCTCTGGCGTGAGGGTCAGAGTTTCAGAACTTTTCAGAACAAAGTTCTCCAGCTCAGAAGCTGAAGTGGAAGAGAAAATTTGCATATCTGGGGATTTTTTGGGGCTCGGAGGCTTTCTTGGGTCCACAGCGTGACGAAGAGTCCCAACCTCAGGATTATTGAGTTTTGTAAGATTCTGAAATGAAAAAAAAAATAATGCAAGTATTTCCTTAGCAAGTATCAGGTAGCTGCTGTTCTAGTGCATGAGCTGATTACATGGCACTTGCTCTCCTTGTTTCCTGCCACTGAATTATATTGGACAACTAAAATACATGAGATGCTATGCCGGTATCATTTTCTCTGCGAGTTACTGCTTTAGTTATCAGAGAACAGCTCCATCTGTGGAAAGGGAGAAGTCAAAGGGGTAATTTCCACTGCATTCCTCCTTGGGGAGTTACTAATTCCTGGGCAATGTAAGTGCAGAATGAAAATGCATTTAGCTTTGATGGCATTTACAGTGAGTTTGAACAAGGGTAATTGCCCTTCACAAGCTGCAGGGTAGCGAAGATGTGGCCAGGGTATCCTTAGAGCTCCCCTCTCTCTGCAAGGCCGGTGTTGACTGAGGTGAACATTTCTTTGCAGAACATTTAGCACCCACCAAAACTCTAGCAGTTTCTTTAAATGGTTTCTCTCTGAAATGGCAGTTTTGCCCAGAAATTACCGTGCGGCCAGCATTATAAATCAGTGTGCCCTGAAGCTGCAGTGCGGGGAAGGGAGGCAGCGCCTGCCACAGCCTCTCCCAAGGAGCTCTGGTGCAAACAAGGCTGCATGCAGGGCTGGGAAAGAGTCCCAGGGAACCAACGGTCCTGCCTTGCAGGATCCCGGGAATTAGTGCCCGTTCTGCACAACCTCCCCAGGGCTCCCTGCAACTCCGTGCGGGCTCTGGGAAGGTGCATTGGGGCCCCAGGTGCCCTCCGCTCCAGCCTCTCTCTTCCCCTTCCTTGCAGAGTTCGTCCGCATGATGTCCCGCTGAGGATTATTCTCGGCTAGAGAAGAATCAGCACCTTAGAGAGGGCAGAGGAGGACCCAGGCGGAGCATCCAGCCCCGATGTTCCCTCGGGAAGGTTCACAGGCCGCCCGCGGCGGGGACATCCGAGACGAGACCTGCTGCTCCTCCCTCCCGGCGGTCCCTGTGCCCCTCCACCCTTTCACACTGTGAAAGACTTGCGACCTCCTACAACTGGAACCATTCCTCCGGGAAGGCGATTTGCGGGAAACCGGCAGAGCCAGGACTTGCCATGATGCTTTCATGGGATACTTGCAACCTCAGACTCCTCCTTCCCCAGCTTTTATTCTCCCACCAGCTGCTGTGAAACAAAAAGCAGGAGAGCTGCTCTGGGCTGGGCGGAGGAGAGCAAAGCCGTGGGACCGGCGGCAGCCTCAGGGCGCGCTCTGCACTTCTGGGTTCCCCTGGTGACCCATGTCCGTGTTTGCTGTCTCCGTGTGTGTGTCTCTCTGTGTGGAATTATTTATGCTCCCCCTCCCTGGCACACGTTTGCATCTCCTGTGGTTATGTTTACCGAGAGTAAATTCAAATACATGTCTTGCAGGGGGAAAGTGATGAATGTGCCCGCAGATGCGGAGCCTGGACGTCTCCGGGGGAGGCTGGGGAGGGTGGGCACGGAACGGGAGCCGGTGCCGCATCCCGAGCGGAGCTTTTGTGCAGGGGGCTCTGCCGGTGGTGGCGTCGTGGGGCCTCCCGTGCCCACCTCCCGCTGCGCCAGGCCGGCCGCGTGTCGGGGACGCGCGTGGGAGCCCGGGAAGAGGCATTTGCGGCTGCCCGCGCAGCGCCGGATCCCCGATGGCCTCGGGAGTGCCGGGATCGTCCCGGAGCGGAGTGGGCAGCCTGGGCGCGTGTCCTGGCGGTGCCGCCGGGCTCCATCCCGTCACACAAACCTCCATCCCAGGCAGTTTCGCTGCCTTCTGAAGCGGGCAACACCGCAGATTAAATAATAACCCAATATTTAATAATAACCCAATATTTAATAACAACCCACTCCCACGGATAATCCCGCGGCTCTCGGCTCCACAGCAGCACCCGGAGCGCTGCGCACGGCGGGGCAGCCGCTGAGCTCCGGGGCATCCCCGGATGACCCGCATCCCGAGCCCCATTCCCGGCTGGAAGCGGCTGCCCCCCGCACGCCGCGGGCCCAGCACGGGGGGCGGCCGGGGAGGGCTGCGGAGCGGAGGGGAGCCCCGCGCCTCCCACTCACGGGTTACGGGGATGAGCGCGGCCGTGACGGAGCGGGTAACCGCGCACGGATGCTCGCCGCCTCCCGCGCCCCGCCGCCAA